CCCTAATTAAGTTCATAACAATGTACCTACCTATATAGTTTAAGTTTAAAAAATTTGGCTCTCAAAAGAAATTTCAATCGTTGTACTGTTGATGTTTGGCTCTGTTGACTAATGAGTTTGCCGACCACTGAGCTAGAGTGTCTCGTTAATGTGGCAGAAGTTTTGAAACCTGGGTTGCTAAATTTTTAGTCAAGTCATATTTTTTCCTTGGCTCTTTGTTCATTTATTTAGTCATTCATTAGTTTGCTCACCCAACAGTTTTTGGTTTTTTTCACATCTATGATTTGTCAAGCATCTGTGGTTTGTCATGCATTGTGTATGCGTTGCCTCATAGGTGGTAGGTCCAGTTGGATCACAAGATGTTTGTTTTTAGGTTCTCATTAAAATGAAAAGACAAAGTTGAAAGGTATTATCGGGAACTTGCGAGTGTCTGAAATTATGAACTACAGAGAGTTTATAAAGCTGGAGTCAGCAAACCATGGCCTGCCATCACCTGGTTTGTAACTAAATTTAATTAGAGCACAGTCACACCCATTCGCTCACGTATGGCCTGAGGTATTTTCCCCCTTATGATGGTGAAGGTTGATAGTTTTGACAGAAACCCACTAACCTGCAGGGCCTAAAATGTTTACCATCAGGCCCTTTATGGAAAAGTGTGCCTACCCCTGCTATAGAAGGTAGAAATTGTGCAGTCTACAATTAGAATATGTTGATCCCTAAGTACTTCTAGAACACTTCCATCTAATATCCTCTTCTGGGGACCTTTCTTAAAATGTTTCACTCTGCAATATCTTGTTAAGGAAGGGAGACAAAATGTGCTGTGTGGACTGATGTGCTCTTGCTATGTTCATACTAACTTGTGGGACAGGTGACTATTTAATTTTAAAATGTGACTCTTTCAACTCCTTTTTTCCTCTACCACCTTCTACCTAAATCCTGGTTAAGTACCTCATTGATCTTGCTATAGCTTCTTAGCATCCATATGTATGGAAACCTTTAAACCACCTTCAATGGTATGCCCTTACCTGACACATTCACTTAACTGAATCCTGAGTATCTTGTTAATG